TGACCATAGTATTGACCATTCAGGACAGAACAGATATAAACAGTGAGCTGATGGTCAGTTTCACCATTCAGTGCTAGTATTGAGGTTTCACAGTCACATGACTACTAACCACGTTGATGGTAACTTGTTCGTCATTTATGAAAATGTTCCCCAACCAGTTGGCCTCCTTAAAGTTTCTTTGGTTGCTTGCAGATTTCCGCAGTCGCCCATAGTTTCTACGGAAAACTCTGACTTGTCTAAGAAAACTCTCCAGCTGCTCTCCAAGCAGGAATGAAATTGTGTAACATGCAGTTCGCCTTCAAAGTAAAAGACGAGCATTTTGTAACGTGTTGGCTGCAGCTTTTACTCTGAAGGTGAATGCAGCGCACCAGGTTAAAAAACTACAAAAGGTGCACAACAACCTTGTATAACCCTGAACTGAGTGTTAGTTTGAACAAATGACCAAATGCCTCAAGGCTCGATCCAGTGGCTGGGGTTTTATTGTGACCTCTCCTTACTTTCCTGTCTAAAAAATCTCCAATAAAGCTAAAAATGCCCAAAAAAATAATGTTTAAAAACAACAACACCCATGTGTAGTTTACACCAGCAGTTGTGATGCCACTTTAGTTTTTTGCTTGGGGCTGTAATCGACCTTTATGACGGATGCAGACTTTTTCTGTCTTGCAATGAGCATGTTTGCTGTCACCATTTTGGTGTTTTGCAACTGAGTCATTGCACCGACTCAAGATGTTAGCCAACGAGGATAACCCTGGATAATTCTCTGTGAAATTTGGCATGCCCAAATAAACAAAATAGACTTAATGTTTTAATCAGTGTGATCTGAAGGGACTTCAGGATCAGGAAAGTGTCTGCTGAGGTTGAGTCAGGCGCTGCCAGGTTGGCTTTAGTTTTCAGATCCAGAAGCTACATCCGTGTTTCTACTGTGCATCTTTCCTCTGTGCTTCAGTATTTCTGCATCAGACACGAAGCCAGGCTTTAATGAAAAGGGAGGACATTATCTCAGGCCATTATTGTAGTCATGTATTCCACATTGCGTTTGTTCAATAGTAAATGGCGACCGTGGCTCAGGGGGTTGGGAAGCGCATCTGTAACCGGAAGGTCGCCGGTTCGATCGGTCGTTGTGTCCCTGGGCAAGACACTTTACCCTACCGCCTACTGGTGTTGGCCAGAGGGGCCGATGGTGCGATATGGCAGGCTCGCTTCTGTCAGTCTGCCCCAGGGCAGTTGTGGCTACAACTGTAGCTTGCCTCCACCACCTCCTCCACCAGTGTATGTGAGAGTGAATGAATAGTGGAATTGTAAAGCGCTTTGGGTGCCTTGAAAAGTGCTATATAAATCCAATCCATTATTATTATTATTATATGTAGGTAAAGAGTTTCTTCAAAAAGTCTGAGTTAGCTGTGACACATTTAATAACAGAAGATCGGTTTGGTTAATTCATGAATTCGACCATGTATGTTTTTTATTTAAATCTGCTATCACCAACATTTTCTTAAATCATTGATGTAGGTATGTAGTACAGTGGTAAATATTATATCCTGATGATTGTATAATAATCTATTTTAAGTTCAGTTTGATGTGTTTTATCAGTGACCCTCACAGTGGTGCATATGAGACGATAACCAGCACAATAATCTGTTTGCATTTATATGTTAAAAAGAAGCCCACATACTGTAGACGTATTTGTAATGTGTATCACATTTGTGTAGGTTATTATGTTTCATCATTTATCTTGATCAGTGTTCCTCTGGATAAAAGTAGAGTGTGTTATTTTACTGGGCAGATGTGATTCTGTGTTATTGCCGTAGAAGGGCATTACTGACATAAATAACGACATATGTGAAGGTTACAGACCAGGAGGGACACATGAGCCAGCGGTGATGTAATGCTGCCGCTATGTAAATCTGTTCACCCTGAATCACAGGGTGACCTCAGTGTCAGTGTTTGGGTGACTGATGGCATCAAAACACCTGGGAGCTGACCTCACCCTCATCTCTGTGTCACTTATTGTATCACTTTCCCGCCCTTTCTCTTTCTCTCTTTTTTCTGTTTGTCTCCTGTTTTGTTTTTTTTCACACTGCCCTCACCCTGGTGTCCTCTGGTTATCTCAACATGGAATTTCCCATCCTGTCTGATCTTACACAGCCAATCCGAGCACTTACTTCACCAAAATTTCCACCAGTTCTCTGTCCTGCCTCGTCTGCCGCCGTCATTTCAATTTCCTCATGCCATGTTGTATCCAGTTGTCAGTCCCGTGCTTCCCTCCCTGAAACCCACATCTGTCAGAGGGAGGCATGTGGATATTTGTGCTACGCTGCCACCTACTGTGGTCAGACAGATCCTGCAAGCCCCGGTGTTTCATGTTTTATACTCTTCCAACCTTCAGGGTTGAGCATATCCCAGCATGCACTGGGTTAGAGGCGTGGCACTCAGGAGAGGTCACTGAATGCAAAGGCTCCAATGACTAAAATAAAACCAGCTGTATTTGGAAAAGGTTAAATTCTTCTTGCAGGGTGCACAAAGGCTAAAACCTAACAAACACGTTTTAATGTTTTTTTTTAAAAATTATATAAAATTTCACGTGTTTCACAGGATATTTGAATCATGAGTGTAGCTGCTGTCAGAAAAGTCGAATTTCAGAATGTGAAATCTTTTGTTTCTAATAGTAGCTATAGCGAGTAAAGTACTAGGTTGCTACAACCATACGATAAAATGACAACTTTTTTAATTTTACCGAAAATAGAAAAGCTAACTATTGGGAATTTTTTTCCCCAAAGATCCTTAAGTGTTCATTTTATTTTTAAAGTATAGGCTCACTGCAATGCAATAGTTTACACTGTCACCAAAATTGTTGGTTTAAACCTCCCGTTCTTCTCCAAAGACACACATTAGTGGTGTTTTTGAATTGGTCGTCGGTGTGGTTGTCTGTCTCTGTGTTTGCTTGGTAGTTGACCGGCAGCCAGTGCAGGGTGAAGAATTTGGTTCGATATTTATAAAATATGCTAAAGAGTTAACTTTTACTTTTGTGTGCAATCTCATTTGTTACTGAATCCAGTTATGATTTTTTTTAATTATTGCTTTGTGCTGAAAAATATTTAAATTTGGGACAATTGAGACCTTTCTTGGACTTGCTCAGGGGGGCCGAGAACCAATAGCAC